TGTGGGGCCGAATGTGGAGCTCCGGACGCGGCTCCGGCAGCAGATCTGGCCGTGAGAGGGACCCGGAGCACGAGCGGCGCGTCCGGTCGGACAGCACGAGGAAGCGAGGCGCCCGAAAGTGGACCAACCACGGGATGTCGCCGCCGGTTCAACCGCCGCGAGACGGAGGAGTACGACCGCCGGCGCGCGTCCTTCTCCTTCGCAACATCTTCCTACGCCGGATCCTCCTTGTCCTCCGGCGCGGGCTATCTCCCCGTGAAGAGGGAGTGGTCGGAGGACGAGGAGGAGCCAGAGGAGCCGGCGCCGTTCGCCTTCGTCCCGGAGAAGGAGGAGCCCGAGGAGCCCGCTCGGCTCAGCCGCCGCGGAGTTGTCGGGCCCGAGGACTACATCGCGGACTTTGACGCTATTGCTGCCGCCATCGCCAAGCGGAGCGTGCGCGAGGAGGCGGAGCGCCGGCGCCACGACGAGAGCTCGAAGCCCTTGAGTGGCGGCAGGCGGTCGCCGCCAACACGAAGGTTGAGGAGTGGCGCCGCATCCGCGCGGAGCAGGCGGTGAAGTACATCGACCTGTGCAGCTCCGGCGAGGAGGATTGAGCATCGCTCGGCCTCCACGGCGTCGTCCACTTTACCGCGACCTCGCCGTCGTCAGATCCGACCCCCTCTACTACTAGTTAACGTAGCTTGTAGTATGATCTATGCTTAATTTGTTGATCATGTAGTATGTATGAACTCTATAGTATGTGATGTGATTGACTATGTTTGTGCAATTTCTCCCGCCAAGGTGTTTTTCAAATTATGTAGGTTTAGATACGGTATCTGATCGGCCGCGGATGTTTTCGACCTGCAAACGCGATCTTCGTGAAACCGCAAACACGTTTTGCGGGTCGAATTTTTGCGGGGTCTGCTAGAGTTGCTCTAAGTCTATGCATTAAAATTGTGTAACCCTTGCAAGGCCATCCTTAGAAAACAGAAGAAAAAACTCACCTGCCCTCAAGTCTATCGACGCGTCTTCTTTCTACACTTGGTGGTGGCGCACATAGTGCAAGATCGACGGTGGCACTCGATCTCTGGTAGGCCCCTTTAGTTGTACAAACGAAGCCCGTTAGTTAGCTCAATTTCAAGCATCGATACATAGCCCTCCTACATTAAGGTTTCAGAAACCCACAAAAGGCATAAATCATGGAATTGAAGAGAGCATATGAGTTGGTCAGTTTCCTCTAATATCCGCACTGATGCCATGACAACACAACAATTTTAACTAGATGATGTGTGGTAGATAAAAGCTACATCTCTGATTTCCGAGTAAGCAATCAGAGATCTAAGGGATCGTGAGATGTGGAATATACGACTCATTCCTCTCGCACTTCAAATTAGTTAAGGGTAATGTGTGATTCTTGAAGCAAGTGCATCCACGGTTGCAGACGAATAATCTACGTAAACCGCTTGTTAAAAAACAACTCAGAATATGCAACGGTATTACCACTAAAGAACATCAAGTCTTTTTATGGGTACACTGGATTAAGTTAACAACACTTTCTTCATTAGTAATTAAGCTTAAGGATTTTCCTAAATAGTACATTACAATTAACTTCACATTTTTTCTCAATTTGTTTCTTTTAGCGAATTCCCAGTTAGTGTCGATATGCTGTGTAGAAATATCTCCGTTTTTTTGTGAACGACAGTGCTGCAGTTGTAGATGTGGTGTAGACTTACAAAACGTATCAACAAGCCATCCTTGACCGTGAATCGCCTGTGCACCGGAGGCGTGAACCCAGCCAGTGGAGAGAACTCTGGCGGCGCGTCGGAGGTGGAGGTGGAGACAGATGCTGATTCAGGCTGCGGGGCGACCCTGAGGGTGGTTGATGCAGTCCTCCGGGTGCCGCCAGCGGTGGTGGTAGGCATGGTGTGAGGAGCGGAGGAGAGGCGGACAGCGAAGCGCCACCGTGACCATGGACCCGCCGCGTGCGGTGCGATGCGAGGGGAGCGGGAGAAGGAGGCTGCCGTTGGCGCGGCATGAGTGGACAAGGAGGGGTGTGGAGTGTAGCTGAGCTGCTCGAACGGGAGAAAGATATCTCTCCATGATCTTCTACTAGCTCACGCCTCAATGGGTAGCTCCTTGTATTGTACTGGTAGTTAGGGATGAAAAACTTCCCGTTTTTCTGGAGGAACAATGAAAACGGAGAGGAAATATGAAAACAGAAACGAAAATTTGCAAAACGGGAGTGAAAATGAAAATGGAATTTTTTATGCAGAATTGGAAACAAAAACGGATCAGTGTTTTCCGGTGGAACATGCATGGAAACGGAACTTTCCGTTTCCGTGAATATGAAATTTCAAAAAAAACAACTCATTATTTTTTATTTTTCTGTGTATTTCTCTATGATTCAAGGGGTTTTTAAGTTCGTTTCCGTATCCGTTTTGTATTCGCTCCGTGTTCGTTTTCGGTAGTATCTATTTCCGTATTCATTTCCGGGGTTTTTTATTCGTTTTCGCTTCTGCAAAAAAATGTGAAAACAAATATAATAACACTCAATTTCGTCCGTTTGCGCTCCGTTTTCATCCCTACTGGTAGTATTATTTTCATTTCTCCAAGTACACATTTTATTAAAAAAATGATAGGAACAAAGTTTTTTATTCAAAAAACAAAATATCTCGACGAACTCATGTTGAAACGATCCAATTCAATCAATGGGTAGATAAGAAAGGATGAATACATCGTGCGCATCATGCCGACGGTAAATAAGGTGGATTCTGCTGCAAAAAACACAGAGGGAGTATTATATAATGGTGATTCTGCTGCAATCATGCTTGTTTGCCAAATATAATTCATAAATTACGTTATGAAGATACGCAAAATTGGAACTTGTAGCAATCTCATATAACGTAAGAAACAACAGATTTGGTGAAGAATTCTTGCATACCATGTAAGGGAACTGTTTCTTTCCTCCCATCTCCAAAACCTTTCGACGAAATGTTGGCCCCTTTTGAGGACAGGGATAAAATAAAACATCAAGGTCCAAGACGGCTACCATCTCCCTCACCTGAAATTTTACATGGCAAAAACACCAAGGCTGTCCATACATGAAAAATGCCAAGTACAAGATGCAGACTTGGTAAACTAAAACGATATTCACCTTACGACAATATGGACAGCTGAAAGTGTTAGCCAGAATACACCAACAATTGAAGCAAAGGATAAATCAGAAGCAGAGAAAATATTAGGCCATGATATACAAAAAAGAAGGTCCAAATATAAATATGCAAGACCGTCAATTTTCTCATATTAAAGTTACGAATCTCAGTTTAAAGAAAACCCATACCCTTCAAACTCGTGTATCTCATTAGCTAGGTTTTTCTGGTCGACGACACTAGGACCAAATGACTGGCGAGCTGACTGATTTTTGCACGCTAAAAAATATCTTCATGACCTCGTGCATGTTGAAATGATTCAGTTCAACCCGCTGTTGTTGAAAGAACAATGGCTATTGAATTCATAATGAACTATGCTCGATTGCCCTAATCTAGATCACGCGATCGCATTACGCTTTGCCTTTCCTTGGCAAGCTACTTTCTTTTTTCTTTCCAGGCTAAAGTTGCAAATAAAAATATCCAATTATTTCATGAAATCGCTAAATAAGGAGTATTACTAGCAAGGTTTACCCCAAACTCGTCACGAGGGAGTTTTTCTCCCCCGGGCGCAGGAGGGAGGGGAGGGTTGGTACGGATCCGTTTTTCTCAAAATGAAATATCCATTAAACTGTGTCTCGAGATCTTTGACATTCAATCTCATGTTGATAGATTCGGCGAACTTTATTTTCGAGCACAAAGTGTATTCTCAATTGGAACTATCATGTGCTTCCGACTAGAACTAACATGTGCCTCGCGAGGGAGCACACATGTGCTCCGACCCAAAGCATATGTATCTTGCAAGCCACATGCCATTGTCCGGTGCATCTCATGCTCTACCAAAAATGACATCCGTTGATGCTTTCTAGGGGGTTCCCTTTAACTGGTTGCTCTAAAAGACCGGAAACTCTGGGGTTCAATTGAGATATATGAGCTGGTCAGTTTCCTCTAATATCTGCATTGGTGCCATGACAATAGAACAATTGTAGATATGATATCTAACTTAGTAGTTGATGCCCGTACATAGAAGTTACATTCCGATACCGGAGTAAAGAATCAGAAATCTAAATGGATCATGTAAATATTGATGGAATATGAGAGGTTATATATAGCCCAACACCAAAGAAACATGACAAAGAAATGAAAGTATGTGTCAAATATGACAGCAAGGTACACAACTCATGAGCACTACCGCTAGTTAGGTCTTTTTTAGGTGTGGAAGATATGGCTCATTCCTCTTGCAGTTTAAATTAGTTAACGGCAATGTGTGAGTCTCAAAGCATGTGCATCCACCGTTGCATAGCTATCATGACCCTTGGAGGTAGAAAAAAACTAGATTAGATGTGACTTAGTTAAGTCTCGTCTGGATGGGAGCTAGCTACACGTAAGTTTTGTTATTGTTACAATAAATTAGTTAACAACACATTCTTCAATACATAGTAATTAAGCTTAACAACCTCCCTAAATAGTAGACGTAATTTACTTCATGCATTCTCTTGCTTTTTTTCTTTTGTTGACTTCCCAATTAGTGTTGACAGCAAGCCAGCATGGTACGGTAACGCATTACACTGTAGAAATAGCTCTGTGTTTTGTGATGGACGGCAAATCTGAGTGCAAATCAGGGTATCTCCCATTCACCTTCAACAGAACTAGGGCGACCAGGAGCCAGATCAGAATGCAGAATCCCACTTCTTTTGCCATGTCCATGCCCATTGTAAAACATGTATGTGAATGTGACGGTCATAATCTTTGGCCGTCCTCGGTCAACTACAACCCCTGATTATTACTCAGTGACAGCAGTAAGCTGGTGACGATCTCCCACTCCCGACGCCGCAGAGCATCGCCACAACCTCCGACATGGCGGGCCTACATTCAGCACGACAGTGGACGCACAGCAGAGCCACCTTAACGCATTCCGCAATCTGAGCTCTCTCACCCTTGCTAGCGCGTAGCAGTGGGTCAACAAGCTTGCGGGGCCTCTTCAGATACTTGCATGCCTGAAAGGATTCCAAGCCATTTCAAGTGATGTATTGAATTTTCACTGGTGATTTTGTACATAAAAGGCACCCATATATATGAAAGATCCTGAAGTTCAAGGCATCTTAAAGATTGTGTAGCCACACACTGCTCTGCATCGAGGTAAAGTGCAGTGGAGATTATTGAGAAGGGGTGAGTATTCACCCGATAGGAGCTACGCATCACTGCGAATCAGATTATGTCATGATAATACAAAATTACTTACATGATCAGGAAGTGATCCTGGAGATGAGCCCTTCTTCGCCTTCACCATATAAAACCAAGGGTTGTTTCCACATATTATCTCGAGAACTACAATGCCAAAGCTGTATACATCTGCCTTCTGCGATAACTTTCCGGTAGTAACATATTCAGGATCTGCATAGCCACTAGCAGATGAAAAATGGGATCATCATTCATGGCGGTGCACTTGCAAACACTTACAGATGAAATACGACAGTTGCATCTCATAACTAGATTGTTGAATCAGATGGGCTCTTACTATGTGCCGCATACAATATCTTCTGCAATTGCATCTGGAGCTAGCTTTTTAGCAAGACCAAAATCAGAAATTTTAGCATTCATTTCAGGATCCAACAGGAGATTACTTGGTTTCAGATCCCTGTGGACAATGCACATCTGAGAATGCAGATGCAGATAAACAAGGCCATCTGCTATCCCTTTGATTATTTGAAGACGCTTTGACCAATTAAGCAATTTCCTTTTTGTCTCATCTACAAAAATGTAAATGCACTATTAGGGAGATGCATTTTCTGACAAATAAACAGATGAATAATAATAAATACAAGCCCAGATAATTAGTAGAAACATGCCAGAAATGACGGCTGCCAAGCTATTGTTCGACATATATTCATAGCCAAGTATCTTTTCTTTTCCTTGAACACAAAACCCAAGTAGCGAAATTATATTTTTATGTCGAAGATTCGGAATGACTTCAATCTCAGCTTGGAACTCTGATAGGCAAGATGTGTTGTGTCTTTTGATAGCAATATCGAGCCCATCAGGCAGTTTCCCCTGAAAAAATTTAAATGGCAATATTGAAGAACGCATCTCAACATGGATTGAGGAGGTTCAGAGAAAACCAATTGGAGTATGGTTACATGTACTGTTGATACCTCTGACTGTTGCTGGTGCACGAAAGCAAATTCCCACCCATCACTAGCATTACCGTCATATGCAAACAATGGATGGTAGCTAAGGTAGAGATGTACAGTTTCCTTTTTTCAAAAGAAAAAGAAAATTCAAGTAGATATGAGATAATCTACCAAGCACAGTTCCTCTCCTCTTATAGGATGTCACTAAATTGAAGCTATTCTGAACTAAATCCAATCCAGTTTAAGTTCATACCAATAGGGATATATGAAAATGTACTAGTACTGTCCCATTATTTCAGTCATGCTTAAACTATCAGAAGTGGAGGCATATACAAAGACCCCACACTCTTAGCAAAAGAACAATTAAAGGAGTCACTTGACCAAACTATTGCAGCTTTCACTCACTTTATGCACCCTTGGACTGACCAACTATAGCGGAAACTACATTTCTGATCCCATTCAACATACTTGTAATATATGTCCCGACATTTTATCTGATTTTGCCACTGGATACCATTCCTGTTAGACAGGAAACTACATTTCAAAAGCTGGATTCATCTATGCCTCATGGGTTGGAGCTGATAAAAATGTAAACACCATACTGTCAAGAGATGCACTTCAGTTCCAAAAAGAATATCACTGCAAATTAAATATGGGGGAGAAAATATTCAGGATAGAGAATCGATCTACTTGTCTTTTTAGAGAAAATCTATGTACTTCTTCTTTTATGTAAATGATTCTATTTTACCCTAGGGTGGCAAACTGAGATTTCATATTTTAATTCTTATAGTATTGCAAATGCATGTTCTTAAGCAGTCCAAGGCTGTTACATACTAAAGCTTGTTTCAAGAAAGTATTACCTTGTAGGTACAGCCGAATACACCATTTCCAAGCAAGTTCCGCAATGACAAATTGTCTGTAGCAGCCAATATCTGAGAGAAACTAAAATAGGGTAGCTCTGCACCTTTTCCAACACCTATGAGATTGACTATTTCCTCCATATTCATGGCTTGGCGTGATCCATAGAGAAACGCACCTTGTCATTGATTATAAGGCAGGGCATGCTTGTTTCAAAGAGTAAATACAAAATTTTCAAACTGTTTCTATGGGATAGCTAGCACCCACAAAAGTAAGTAGAACAATAAACAAAAGCTGACCCGTCCAAAAGCAAATGTGCATATGCAATGGAGTTAAACTGTGAAATTTGTAGCACCTAGTTATAAACTAGAAGAAGTTGTCAAGTATTTGAGTGCACATACTTGTATTTTGTTCTTCGTCAGATTTTGCACAAGGGGGAATTCCCGGATCTTCTAAATGAATTTCCTTGAGTGCCTCTGTTCTGAGTTTTTAACAATAAAAAAGATATCAAAAAGAGATAAGTAAAGGAAATCAAGATTTAGGTGTTAAGATTTATTGTTTTTTCATTTGTGTTTATGGGTGGGACACACGAGGTAAAAGTGCTGCTTAATGCCTACTGAAGTAGCACACAACTAGGTAGGAGCCTGGTGATTACGTTGTAAAGCAGAGTCTCAATAATCTGCAAAGTTAGTGCACTAAATTGATATAAAACAATTACAATTCCGATCATGGTTATAATTTGAAAAGGTGTGATGCTCAACAAGTTCAACTTCACTGTGCGATAAGAAATTGTTTGTGCATCCTTCATTCTATACCTTGACTAAAAGAGCTGGAAACTGAAGCAGGTCCACAATGGTTTGAATACACAGCAAAGGGGAATCCATGAATGTGACTGAATTCAGCATAAAACAAGGTACCATTGATATACCTTACCTATTGTTATGTTCTGAAGGAAGGGGAGCCTTGGCGCAGTGGTAAAGCTGCTGCCTTGTGACCATGAGGTCATGGGTTCAAGTCCTGGAAACAGCCTCTTACAAAAATGTAGGGAAAGGCTGCGTACTATAGACCCAAAGTGGTCGGACCCTTCCCTGGACCCTGCGCAAGCGGGAGCTACATGCACCAGGTTGCCCTTTTTTATTGTTATGTTCTGAAGGATGGACCGCATGTAACTCACCCATAGTATCCTTTGAGATGCAAAAAGAAAAGAAGAGATGGAAATAAGATCCTTTCAACATAATTTCCTCTGGAATAAACATTATGGAAATAATGAGTAATATTCTAGCAACAAATCAATGTTAACTACTCCCTCCGCTCCATAATTCTCGTCGTGGTTTTAGTTCCAATTTGAACTAAAACCACATAAAGAATTATGGAACGGAGGGAGTATGAAGCATAATAGTTGGAAATTTCTGTCGATAACATGCAGGGGGGCTGCAACCCTGACAAACCACATTGGCCTAGCATCTGTGCAGAGTTCAGAAGCTGCATGATCTTTAGAAGTGAGTTCTTTGAGATTATATTTGATCTGAGAGTGTTCATAACAGGCCGGCCAGTCTTTTATGATTAGTACAATGACACAAAAGTAATAATTGACTTTGCCTACTGTACTGCTCACGAGATATTATAGAAGCAGCATCTATAACTAACTAATCTGTGCTGGCAAACTCATGCACATGATAGCCGTACAGTTCACATCTAGAAAACAGAGAAGAATATTGTACCTCTGTACCGAGGGGTTGAGCTTTGTGCAGAAGCCGTGCCCAGGTCCGACTGGTATCAACAAATCCAACGAGCGGGAAGAGTTGGAGGTAGAAGGCGATCTCATTCTGCACCTGATGGAGCTGGTCAGCTTGCTTCCCTCCCATAAACCAGCTGTAGAGGTAGCTGCCGTCCTGACAGGATCTGATGAGCATGTATGTATGCCGGAGTGTCTCCTCCAGCTGCTCAACTGGGTTCCTTGTCTCTGTATGCTGCATCAGCTGTGTGCTCTCGAGCTGCTGGAGAAGGTCTCCAATCATCTTCACACGCCGCGCCAGCAGCTGGCAGGTCTCCCGGTTCCTTCTAACTGTCCTTGCCGCCTCCACGATCATCGTGATGAGCCCATATACGTCCACCCCGGCAAGCTGCGCTATGTTGGCCACCTGACCCACGCCACTACAGAGCATCATCTTCTCTCAGTTTGCTGGTGAAGAAGAAGACCAGAGAGTGTTGAAAACAGGCACCCAGTAGCCAGCTCCTATACCTTGGTACTTTTCTGAGAAGTGAGTCGCGGTCTTCAGACTTCATGATTGATTATGTGGTTGAGAAGTTGTACAAAACCTCTCCTGATAGGATGGCCACATCCAAATTGTTGACGTGGTGAGTGGACTCTGATTTTTCTGAAAGTAGGTACGATACAGGAAGAAAATGACTTTTCAGAAACTAAAACAATTTGGCATGGCATTTCAACACCACCAACACCAAGAGTCCAAGACTACTTCCTACACCCTAAGAATATCCAACAGAAACGTAGATATTGTCCTGGCACAATCAGGAGCACAGATTCTCCTCCTGTGGAATTTCCACAAACACATGGACGGCGGAGACCAGTCCACCGAAGGAGATAAGCCTGAACATCTGCAACTTGTTTAAGACCACACAAACCCATGACTGAGCAATCGATCAAAGGGCAGGGCAGGACAGCCATTAAATGGCAAGGAGGAGGCACTGCCAGTGGCGCCATCTGGACCGCTCCCGGTGCACGCGGACGCGGCAATGGCATAACATCGACCGGCCGGGGCCACTGTTCCGCAGCGAACACGTCTCACACCGCCTCCCGGACACTAGCTAGGCGGTATGGTGTGTACGGAGGACGGGTCGCAACTGCTGAGCGAGGTGGGCGGCTCGAAACGGGCAGGCGGCGGGGCTCCGGCGAGCGGACTCGTCCAACTCTGAACCAAGAGCTGGTCCACCGGACAAGTAAAAAATACTTGGTAAGAATGCACCTCCTATAATTAGAATAGTCATGGTACAATAAGAACAAAATGTTTCAAAGCAAGGTACGAAGGCTAAAGGCCAAAATGTTAATGCATGGTTCCGGGCAGCTATCAATCGATCCCTTGAATCTCAGACACTAAGAACAGTTTCGAGCTTACTCGGGCATGAAAGCTCATTTGTCCAGCGTTGCATTGGAAATGTATAAAGAAACAACTAAGCAAGGAAAAGAGCAAAAACGAAGGTCCATGCACAGAGTAAAATAGGAAACATGTACATAATAATCTAGAAGCTAGATTTCTTGAAACCTCCCTGTAAACACCCAACCTGCAAGGTGTTTTACAGTTTATATTATGTGCAACATCTTCAAGGGAAAAAACAATATAACATTCAAGAGAACCAACAGTTATCACCTCGATGTCATGCATTTGTCGTCGGGAGTCCTCCATCTCCACTTTGTCATAAACCTTAAAAACGAAACGAATTTATTGAAGGAAAAAAGAAAGCAAGGAGCGCTCGTAGTGAAACAAAGTGCATACAATAGGTGCCATTGATGCAAAAAAAAAAGTGACCACAACATATGAAACAGGTCAATACAGTTCCTAAACATGCATATGAAAGAGGAGAACCGCCTATTTGCGTACTGTTTATTACTTAGTTATTAAGGAAAAACTTGAGCCGAAGAACCAAAAATAAATTATGTATACTCTAAGTAAGACAGGAAGTCAGATGCATACATGTCATTTCTATATATACATACATGTCATTTCAAAGGCCCCAGGGCGAACTCAACCAATGGGCCAAACAGAGAGAAAATCCGATTCAATATATCCAAAATTGATCATTTCTGAAGCTACGATAAGCCGAAACTAACAACATCAGATCACCCAACCATCCAAAATATCCAATCCTGAGATGCCATAGCACCCAATCCAATAGCTACCACAGCAACCAAGAGATCCCCATTCCATATATATCACTAATAGTACAACTATTCATCAGACTCAAATCGATCTTTTCTTAAGCAAATATAAACCTAAACCAACGACATCAGATCACTACATTTCATAACACCCAATCCAACAACCTCCACAGTAACCAAGAAATCCCTGCTCCGTATATACAGTAATCACTACCAAATAAACTATTCGTTAAACCCAAATTGACCATTTTTGGAGCAAAGATAAGCCGAAACTAACAGCAAGATCAGCCACACATCCAAAACATCTAAACCTGAGATGCGATAGTACCCAATCCAATAGCTGTCACAACAACCCAGAGATCCCCATTCTGCATATACTGCCAATAGTACAACTATTCATCAAACCCAAATCGATCACTTATCGAGCAAAAACAAGCCGAGACTAACATCATCAGATCACCAGATGCCATAACACCCAATCCAACGGCTGCCACAATAACCAAGAGATCCCCACTCCGTATATTTCACTAATATGCAAACTGTTCGTTAAATCCAAATTGGCCATTTCTAAAGCAAAGTTAAGCTGAAACTAAAAGCATCAGACCACTGAAACACCCCAAATTCCATAACCTGAGATCCCATGGCACCCAGTCCAATAGCGAACCATCTCATGAACCTAATTAAGTAGTGTATATATGAACCTAAACAACAGAACATAGCTGAACAACAACACGAGTAGCAGCTGCATGCGGATCCATCTCTGTGAAATAGTAAACAAAAGGCCCAGAAAAATCACCTCCAGAGGACGTCTCCAAGGAGCATCAAGTCACCATCCTTGTCTCCTTTCCGCTCACCATCTCCACGAGACTCATCTCCATTCCCCATAAGAAACCTGCTTGCTTACAGCAACACTACTGGAATAAAAAAAATCTAAACGAAGAGTAGACATGTTACAGAGATTGAAGTCAGAAAGAAGTGACTATATATCTTTGGAACTAACAATAAAAACAGAACCAAGATACAAAGTTACAGACATGTGAATGCATCTGTGGTTTCACACCCGCTGAACTGAACTGAAGTTACCAAGAGCAGAGGAAATAGAGTAGTAAAGCACAGGAGAGTAGTAATGCATTTTTGTTTCATGCAGCTTTAATTTACTTCCGTTTTGTTCTTCAGTGGTGTAACAAACAAGTATGTGAATCACAGAGACAGACACATTTACTAATACAAATCCCAGCCAGCGAGTGTATTAGTTGAGCAGAAATAATCGCCAATGCAAGTAGAGCTTACACAAGTGACCAATCGATTTATGCACTCACTCATTTAGTAGGATCTTATCAGTGAATGTGAAGAAAAACAAACAGGGTACAAATTAGCTGGTTCGTGAATGCACACAGATCCCGTCTACTAACTGTGACTGAATATATGCTTCATAACAGTCCAACACAAGTATGTACACATACATACGGCGTCATTTAACTTGGAACAATTAACCACAACAAATTCTTTCCCTGACATTTTTCACCTAAAAAACATGAAGGGTATGTGACAGTGCTTTTGTCGCCATCCGTTTCAGAACAAAACTGACGAAGAATAATAACACACAGGCCATGCATGATCGAATTGATCTGATCACTGTACAGTAATTCAACAAAGCTTTAAATTTCAGGGACAAGGGAAAACCAACCACATTTTTCATAAATTTTATGAAACGTACATAAATCAAGTATTCAGCAGAAATATTTCTGAATGCAAATAGAGTTTAGGTCCTACCAAATGCATAAAAGCTTCTGAGGACAGACTATGAGCGAATAAAGTACAGCGTACGTTTTCAGACTACAAGGTTTCATAGTGGGAACCATAACCTGCAGGTCCTTGGACGTGGACGAAGACTTGAAGGCCGCCACAGATCCAACGATCAACCGACGAGGGGATCAACCAAAATAAGGAGCACCTGCAAAGAATGGATCAGTCCAAAACCAAACAAATGTCAACATGGGCTCAGCTAAAGCAGATGGTGAAAACCAGGTCAAAGCGAAGGTTTACCCACAGATCGATGAGTGCGGTAACAGATACAGACCAGCGACGGGAAGAACTACGGATCTGCAGGCAAAAGAGACCCAAAATCAATCATAAATGACCAATCCAACAGGGAGAACGCACAAGCGACGGTGGGAATCACCTTAACCAGCACCTCGGCGGCAATTTGCTTAGTATTTTTGTTCGGATCCATGAAAAACATAGAACAGTTGTGTAGCAGCTTGTATCAGGAATTTGGGCGCTTACCAGTACCCATGGAGCTTTGGAGCATGTTGACGACAGGACCCTCAGGAGGGGGCTGAGCTCTTGTCACCCCGTGGTGGTGGATGAGAGTCTCACCACCGGAAAGATGCTGCAGGGGGAAGCGCTCACCCAAGGAGGAGTCCGCATCGGCCGTCATGGCGGGTAGGAGGAAGCTCCTGGAAGGCGGTGCACCGGAGAGGCGAGGACGACGGCAACATCGACGTGGACAGCCGTCTCGGCGGCCGACACTCCTCCCGTCTCCCCTAGGTCCTTGTTACTGGATGTAAGTCCAATACACATGAGGAGGGCTAGTAAAATCATCAAAGTCTACTCCGATCCATTTGTATCATCTCCATTCTCATATCCATATGGGGCACATGCAAGCTACTAAGCTTAGGTAAAAATATCACAAATCCAAGTGCCTAAGCTACTCCAACCTAGAATCCAAATAGTGATATCCAAGATGATCCAAAAGTCCACCAATACCACACTCATGCCAATCATATATTATACCTATATAAATTCGATATATCTCAAGTTGATCATACTACACCCTAAAGTTCTCTAGCTTCAATCTTCAAAGGAATCTAGCAAAAATCATAACTATGATCCAACCAAGCCTAATATCATAGTTATCCAAGTCCAATAATATGGGGAGGGCTAGCAAAATCATCAAAGTCTACCAACTCCGATCCATTTGTATCATCCCCATGCTCATATCCAAATGGGGCACATACAAGCTACCAAGCTTAGGTCAAAATATCACAAATCCAAGTGCCCAAGTTACCTCCAACCTAGAATCCAAGTAGTAATATCCAAGATGATCCTATGGGGCACACACAAGCTACTAAGCTTAGTTAAAATATCACAAATCCAAGTGCCCAAGTTACCTCCAACCTAGAATCCAAGTAGTAATGTCCAAGATGATCCAATAGTCCAACAATACCACACTCATGCCAATCATACTATACCTATATAAATCCGATATATCTTAGGTTGATCATACTACACCTGAAAGTTCTCCAACTACAATCTTCAAAGGAAGGAATCTTCCCCGCCTCCCCTCCTCATACCCTCACCACTCAGCTCTGGATCTAAAAGGCTAACT